CGAGTTTCACCCCTCTTAATAGTTCGGCTATCAATCCTAAATGTGATCACACTCGCTAAGTGTCTCGATCACTAAACCGAAAAAGCTCCTATCAATTTCACATTTGCCTTAAGCTTTTTGTTTTTCTCTTTCTTCTTTTTCCAAGTCACCATGGCATCACCATCATCATGTCATGATCTTCATTTACTTCACCACTTGGAGTAGTGCTACCTATCTCATAATCACTTTGATAAACTAGGTTAGCACTTATGGTTTCATCAATTCACCAAAACCAAACTAGAGCTTTCAGTCGCTTGTGATACATTTGTGCTAGAATATATATCTTTATATGTTTTACATGCCGTGTGGTGTCTGTTCTGATCTATGCTATTACAGCAAGTACAGAAGTGCCGCACCCAGCTGCAACAGCAAACTATGTTGTGCATAAACTGTCATTTGCATCATGTTTTACATACCTGACACAGTATGCAACACCCCATAGGAGCATGGATGTAGCGGGAGCTCCATCACTTTCACTAAAATGTGAATCTTGGCTTCTTATGCTAATTTAAGAATTCAATTCTCTATTCACATACTTAGGGGGATGCTCTACACCTATTGGTTGAAAAGTCTTAATATTTATTTCATATCTTTTGTAAGCTCTAATTGGGTTGTCATCAATCACCAAAAAGGGGGAGATTGAAAGTGTAATCAAGCCTTAATTATGGGTTTTGGTGATAATGACCACGTAATTAGAGAACTAATGAGATTTATCGAGATGACAAGCAGGGAATTTATATTCGAGGATGCTACACGAAACGGAGGAGCCCCCAATTACAAATATAGATGGCTTCAAACTAAAAAGAGGTTTAAGATTCTTTTATATCTTGAATTTAAGTATAGTAAAAGCCATACTATAAAGGGGGGACACAATGCTTAAGCTAATATATGCTACCAAGTGCTCAAACAACCACAAGCATCCTTAGATTTATAGCCAAGACAGTCCCCACTTCACTATTACCCTTACTGTCTTGCGTGGTGCGGCACTATCGCACTTGAAGAGAGGCACTGACGCACTTGGGTCGTGACACAAGGAAGTTAGCACCCACGCTGACTTCCCCGGATGGCTCGAGACAAATTAAACTGTCTCGCCTGACCCCTTGGGTGCGGGATCCATCTCGCCCGACCTCAAGGTCGCGGGATCCGTCTCGCCTGACCCCAAGGTCGCGGGATCCGTCTCGCCGGACCCCAAGGTCATGGGATCCGTCTCACCCGACCCCAAGGTCACGGGATCTGTCTCGCCCAACCCCTTGGTGCAGGCTCCATCTCGCCCGACCCTAAGGTTGCAGGATCCGTCTCGCCCGACCCCAAGGCCGTGGGCTCCATATTGCCCAACCTCGAGGCCACGGACTTCGTCTCGCCCGACCCCTTGAGTGCGATGACCGTTGAGGGTTGGGGTATATATACCTTTTCCTTTCCTCCCCAACAGCTATCTACGATTTAAGTGACCATTGGGGGCTGGGGGTATATATACCTTTCCCCTTCCTTCCCAACGGTCACCTGCCTCTTCTTCCTCACTTGAGCACGTCCAAAGCAAAGCAGGAGCTCTCTCTCTCTCTCTCTCTTCCTCCATTGTTGACCTCAAGCTCTCAAGAATATCTATTGATTTCTCCATCAATCCTTAAGAAAAAAGGGTCCCAAACTCGATTAGAGAGCAGCTCCATTGATTTTCTAACTCTAAAGAGCACTTGGTTCACGTTTTGGCCGACGATTGTGTTTGTTACTCTTGGAGCTTGGCTCCTAGCGAGCTGGAGCGTCGCCCGTGGAGCTTACCAACTTGTGTGGCAGTCTCGGGAGGTTTGTAACCATCTCTTGAAACTAGTAAACTCACCCCTCATCTCAAGAGTTAAGTCTCTTGACTTGAGAACAAGGAAGGGCTAGAAAGCTCTAAGCCTTAGTGGCTAACCTCAACAACGTGGAGGTAGGCAAGTCTTGGTAGCGAGCCGAACCACGGGATAAATCATTGTGTCACTTGTGCTTGATTTACATTACTTGCATGACATATTATGGTTGAGGTGATTTCTAGGGTTTTTAGTTGATCTAGTTATGTGTGGTGTTTCTACCACTTCTTGCTCTTGATCTGTGATTGTCATACTTGCAGTAAGCTAGGAAATTTCTCCGATCTAAGTTTTCGTTCATGGATTTTGAACTATGACTCAAAGTTGTCTGCAGGAGCGACAGTACCGCCCTCCAAGCGGCAGTGCCGTAAGGTGAATTTGATAAAAGTTTGAGTGTTTATTTTGACAGGCCTATTCATCTCATCTCTAGGCCAACCAGAGATCCTATAAGTCCCAAATAGAGGCTTATATATATGAATTAAGAAGACTTTAATGTCATCATTTACCCGATGACACCAGGATTCCTGCTCACGCGTTCGCGTCCAGTACGAATCATGCTCCACTCGATGCTCACGGTTTCGTATCCTACCCGGTTCCGATATAAAGACCGGTCCACGTGTTCACGTCCGAAATAAAGTCTTTGGAACTCACGTGTCTACATCTGGTTACTGAGATTTAGTTTGAAAAATTACGATCCCGGTGCAATTCCAGTAAGAACATAAAAAAGTATGGGTTTTCTAATATAGAGTCCAAACCAAAATTGCCCTTGCTCCTCTGTGGTCTAAAATCGCCTCCTTGGTTTAATTCACAGGATATATCCTACGTACTAGTATACGGAGGGGGTGTTTGGTTTCACCTCCTGAACTTTAGTCGTTGTTCCATCAGATATTTGGACATATGTATGGAGTATTAAATATAGACAAATTATGAAACTAAATACAAAGATTGAGATTAATTTACGAGATAATTTTTTAAGCTTAATTAGTCCATGATTTGACAATGTGGTGATATAGTAAACATGTGCTAATAACAAATTAATTAGACTTAATAAATTCATTTCACATATTACTAATGGATTCTATAATTTGTTTTTTTTTATTATCAAACATCCTCATCAAACACCCCCTGTACTCTTACTTTGGATTATACTATCATGAGTGTGAAACGGGCACTCTGAGGTCATAAAATGGAGGAAGTAAATGAAATATCTTTGGAGCAGTATTGCCGCCATGCCTTTGGGGTATCGAGCCACCGAGAGTTCGAATTTTGAAGGCACTACGAGTACTAGTGGGTAGCGGCAGTATCGCCGGTGGAGTTTCCTGACGCCCACGACGAGGACGAGGGAGAAAAGTTCAAACAAGAGCATCCGAATGCCACTAGAGGTCTAGAGCCGTGCACCCAGGCGCAGCGCTCGTTTTTTTAAAAAAAAATATGCACCTCGAGTCCGCGAAAGCACCTACGAGTACTCCGTACAGTAGTGCCACTGCTTCCCAGGGCCCACTCGAAATTATTCCCCTCCCACTCATTTCCAACGCGCATTCACCCACGCCGCGCAAACCCCCACCCACAGCTTTTGTCCACCGTATGTATTTCCGGGCCTGCATAAAAACACAACGGGCCCACTAATAAGAACATCAGGGACCCACCTGTCATTCCCAATTTGATAGTACTTTCTGGTCCTGCGCTTGGGACGCGTAGCCAGCGCACGCCCCCCAGCTTCACCGTTCCCATCGCAGCAAGCCGGGGAGGCAGCCAGGCAGGTCGCATTCACACCCCGGCCGCTGATGTGGCACATCCCGTCCAGTACCTCCGCTCGTCGGTCGGTCACATCACTCGCTCACTCATCACGCCTCATGATTCAGCCCTGCTCGCTTGTTTTTTCTCACGGTAAATCAGAATCAGCATCATCATCAGTCGTGTAACGGAGCCTCATTCATGAACCGACGCCCACTTCCGGGGCCCACACGTCATCCTCACAGCCACCGTGGACGCCGACAAGCCGGGCGACGGACTTACCGACAAGCGGGGCCCAAATCTCTGGCCCACGGTGAGGTCGGTTCACGTGGGGCGGGGCGGTCGCCGACAGGGACGGCTGGAGTGGAGCCGAGCGGCCGAGCGGCCGAGCCGGAGCCGCCTAGAGGGAACCCTAGCCAACCACGTCACCGTCCACGTCACGGCCACCTATAAAGTGGAGCGAGCCACCACCCAACCTGACCCTTCCGTCCGTCCCGTATCGTTTCCTCCTCCTCTCTTTTCCTCTTCGCTTCGGCCCCCCTGCCTGGCTTGGCGTCTACCCGGCGCGACCAGGACCGAATCCTCCTAAGGCCGACGGCCGCCGCCGCCGTCGGTGCCCGCTGCCCCCCGCCGCCGGCTCAGCTCCCGTTGGACTCGGTAAAACCTCCTTCCTCCTCGTCCATGTCGCCGGGGTAGGGCTCCAAGGGGCCGCGCGCGCGGGGTCTCGCCGCCGGCGCCGATCTGGGCGCCGCCGGCGTTGACCCCGCCCGATTCGCCCCGGGCTGCTGCTGGGCTGCGCGACCTGCGCCTCCGTGACCGATTACTCGGAATTTCTACTCGCCTGTCGGATTCTCGAGCGGATCAGCTGAGCACGTCAACTTCAGCACCGTGCTTTTGGTTGGGACAAGCGAATTGTAGAGCTTCCCTCGATTTTTCGAGGGCTCTTTCTCTTCTCTCAGATGTGGAATCCTCCACCTCCAGAGTCGACCACATACTGTTTGAGGAGTCCTGATTGTTTTGGGAATCTGGACTAGCTAAGGGCTCCTACTGTGCACGTCTGCTAGACAGGATATTACGGATTATTATGTAAATCAGAGCCTTCCTGTTTTTATCAGAGTTTGCTTTCGTGTTGAACTATGAGTGAATTTCCTTTTCTGCACAAGATAAAAGTCGGTTTAGGTCAGGGCTGTTTAATCCGTGTTCATATATGTATATGTATGGAGGATACAGGAAGCTGTTGCTTGCGATCTGATTAAGGCTTTTTGCTTGCTATTCTGATTTCTTTTTCAGAGTTTGGAGTAAAGAAATCAACCTTGCGTCTGTGTTCTCTGTGCTGCTTTGCTTTGGATTCCAGAAAAAAAATTCACATCTCACTGACTTGAGATAACTATGCCGAAGGACAGGAGCTCCCGCGTTTCCTCTTATGAGAGCCGTCGGGCTCGTGCCTCCCCATACATCTCAGCGTCTCATGGACAGAGCAGTTCTTCTCGCCGGTCAGAAGAGTCTTCTGCGGCTGCAGCAGTGGCAGCAGCGAAGCAAGCTGCAGAGTGGGAGGATGTTCGGTGCCCGGTCTGCATGGACCACCCGCACAACGCTGTCCTGCTGGTCTGCTCGTCACATGAGAAGGGTTGCCGCCCCTTCATGTGTGACACCAGCTCGCGCCACTCCAATTGCTATGACCAGTACCGCAAGGCCTTCAAGGATTCCTCCAAGGATTCAGGGACAGAGTGCAGCGAGTGCCAGCAGCAGGTTCAGCTCTCGTGCCCACTGTGCCGTGGGCCAGTCAGCGATTGCATCAAGGACTACGACGCGCGAAGGTACATGAACACCAAGGTCCGATCGTGCACCATGGAGTCGTGCGAGTTCAGGGGCGCCTACCAGGAGCTGAGGAAGCATGCTAGGGTGGAGCATCCAGCGGCGAGGCCAATGGAGGTAGACCCTGAACGGCAGCGGGATTGGCGCCGGATGGAGCAGCAGCGGGACCTTGGGGACTTGATGAGCATGCTGCGTTCAGGGTTCAGCAGCAATATCGAGGACGACAGTGGTGGACTTGGAGCCATCGAAGAAGGGGAAGAGGAAGCTGAAAGGACTCCGACCGCCATAACAATGGTCTTCATCATGCCATCTAGAGGCTCGATCATGCAGTACTTAACAGAACGCAGTAGGGCGATCATTCTGGTCAGCCGGAGGCGAGCAAGCAGTGGCAGTGGTGATGCTGAAGCCACAGCACCAGACAGCGAGGAAGGTGATGACCCTATGCCATTGGCGGAGGCATCTGCTGGTTCACAGCATGCTTCTGAAGAAGAGGAGGCTGATGGTGACCCTGCCCAATGACAGAAGTCAGCTGGCAGGAGGTGTGCCATGGCATCTTCTTAGCCTGAAGATCCCGACCAGCATGGTATGCGATGCTGTGTGCTGGGTAAGAAAAACATGGATGCAGGTGCCATCAAGGTGTAGTCAGGACAATCTGTCTACGCGGAAGAAGAATCGAGGGGAATCAGCATCGTGGGAAGGGTTGAAGAACGTGGTGGATCGGTAGTCGGGTCTCTGGTGCCCATTCTAATGTATCCGCTGGGTTCTCTGTAGCAGTGGAGGGGAAAAAACAATTGGGTGGTTGTATCTATCTTGTCTGAATGGATTTCCTTTTCCCTGCGTTGTAATTCTCTCTCATATATTATCATGAAATAGATTTGGCCGTATTTGCACTGCATAATATAATCTTTGGCGTCTAAGATTGACCATACTGCTGCTGAAGATCGCTCATGTGGGCTTGGTCCTATTCTTTTTCTTCTCTATAATATATAGAGGACATGCCAGAAGTAACTCTCTCCAGCTGTAGTTTCTTGCGACCCTGTATAAGAGGAGCAACTCTCGGTAAATAAAATGCATGCAGGTTTGATAGCTGTACTAGCATCTGTTTCTTGTTGCTGCTGCTCGGCCATGGATGAAGATGAAGAGACGAGGCCAAGCAGCATGTGCAAGAAGAACGAGTGCCTCAAGTGTTAAAAATCACTGAACTTCTCACTCTTCTCTGCCTAGCTCGCTAGCAGAATTTTCCCCGTCCTTGCAACTATAGCTACTGCCAGTGCTTCTTCTGCGAGTGGTTCTGCTCTGACGACTGCAAGTGCGAGGGGTGCTGGAACAGGGTGGACTCGGGAATATTAGTGGAGGAGCACGAAGAGTTGAGACTCAACACGAAGCCCGGCGCTCGCAGTCGAAGATCTCCATCCATGGAGACGCATCCAGCTACCTGTATCAGCGCAACAATGTCTTTCTTTTCTTTTGATGAAAATAAGAGAGCAAAAGTATCTTTCTTTCTTTTTTTATGAAAACAAGATATGTTTTTTTTTATAAGGATGAAAATAAGATATTGACTTCACCCTGATAGAAGAGCAGAGTAGGCATTTTTTTTAGGAATAGCAGAGTAGCCATGTCAAGGGTTGCACTTGCACCTGCAAGAAGTCCGGATGCAAGGAAAGCTAAAGCGAGTGTTTCAAGGTATACATGGCAATCATTGGTCTCTGATGCCCATTGCTTACTTGAATCTGATGATCGTGTAAAATCTTATTGCTTGAACTGTGATTCTGAAGAACCAGGTTGCGTGCACTGTGAGATGAAGAGTCGCTACGTCCAACCGAAGGTGTGGCTGGAAACATCGCAGCAATTGCCGATCCTCAGGATTCTGTCACACATGTTCAGGAAGTCGGGAACCGGTTAGCTCTTGACCTTGACATTTTTGTTATTTTCCAAAGGTGATTTGCAGTCCTGCTCTGCTCCCGAACGCATATGTAGTGTGGTGGCGAGTGCTCCCGGTGGTGACTGGTGAGCCAGTCGGCCAGCACTAGTTTTCCTGGTGATCTGTTCATAAATCATAGCTGTTCTTGCGATAGTATATTTCATTGGAATAGCACAAAGACTGTCATCAAATGGATATAGTAAACGATAAACTGCTGCATATTAGGCGCCACGTCAGTATTCTGATGTTTGTATTCATGTTGACATGATTGCACGCAGTCCCTCAAACCTTTACACTTGCGACACGAACAACAGCCAGATCAGATTCCGATGCAAGTTGAGATTGATGAAGCTGATCAACTGCAGAATATACATTGGTAATAGGTATGATTGCGCCTGGCATTAGATACCCCCCATGTACCAATTGCAACTTTGAGGATTGCTCTATTTGTTGACTTAGTGTGGTACTTAGTGATGAATTTTGTTGACATTTGCTCATTGTAATGCTGTAATACTTGAACATTGAAGCTGCAAAGTCTGATCTTGTCTTTTAATGATTGTGGAAATATGTTATGTTGCAAACTCACATGTATATAACCTAACACGCAGTAAGCTGATCTTGAGCACAACTGTAAAGAACATTACTACTGAAGTAACTAAACAAGCAGTACAATACTACATTACAGGCATCCTCTTTTAGTGGTAGAAACAAGGTACATTACCGGTAAAACTAACATGGGGTTACACGTTACAGCCTACCAATCCATGACAGTCAACTCACAATTCACATAGCCTATCAACCTTCTGCATATTGTCAATACCTCTCTCTATGTATATCGCTATTAAAGCCATCGCACTGCCAACATATTTAATTTTCAGATTAGCCACGTGGGCGCTCAAAGTCCCAACGTTGACCTGAGCCACTTGCTGACGTCGTCCATCTCTTCAGGGATAGTATAGTGACCAAGTCTGCATAAAAAAAGAGAACATTTTGTGACTTCTTAATCTCTGGGGAAAAACTGATGTTAAAAGCGTTCTTGACAAAATTGGACAATATCAGTACCCATTGTAGGGTTTGAAATAGGTATACTGGAATCCCGAGTTCCGTAGAATCTCAGCCGACCTCTCACCGTTCCTGTAGATGACAACCTCATCGGCTGCAAAAGCATAAAGAAATAAACCATTTTTAGATCTTTAGAGTTTGCAATAGATTAACAAATTTAAACACATCCACCCACTACGTACAAAACACATCAATGCTAACCTATTCCATGGTTGAGCAGGATTGGCAAGCTAGAAGCTTTTCTAAGAGCAAGCTGCGAGCTCTCAATCTTGCTCCTTAGGGTCCTGAACAAGTAGACATAAGAGCAGTCGGTTCAGGATGCATTTTAAGAAAATCTATTAAAAACATAACCGTATTTTCTGGAAATCATACCTTGAGCAAGGAAGCCAGCCACTTAAACCAACGACGACCCTGAGGTTGATCGGATAGGCAATGCCGTTTGTGAATCTCCCATGAGCATAGCATGCAGCAGAGTGGAGGGCAGCGGCAGCACCCATGCTGAATCCTCCTATCCCAAGGCTCACTGACATTGCAATTTTCATCAACATTAATAATTGATACTTGTATTCTTTGCGATGTTTGACGTACTCAACTAAAAATAAAATTGCATAAATTCTGAGGGGGAAAAAATCGAAACAAGTAGTATCCTGTCAGCTCGGTTTCTATTGGACTGTTTACGCGTTTTCCTTTGTTTTACTGCTATATATATTGTGTTATCCTGAAGTTAGCTAGTACCATCAGATGGCTCGGACGACAGTAGGTTTGCCACATGTGCGGCTGAAGCATCCAGCCCTTCGATATCAGCATGGCCATCCAATGAAGTTTCGTCCACATCAAACCCTGTTTTATTTAGTTTCAGAGAGAAGAAACAGAGAATCATTTCTTGCTCACATAAAAAATACCCTAGCAGCTCTATCAGGAAAGCAAAGTTGCAGGCTTTTGAGCCAAGTCGATAAGTCGGATATAGAGTTGAGAAACCCACATGCAGTGCAAGGGAATCCACCGAAAGCCGCGACAGGCCGTGTTGGTGCAGTAGGGCAAATCCATTTAACCTGCACAAGGATGAGATGGGTTTTAGAGTCAGTGAACTTTTTTTTAGATAAAGGAAAACAATACAGAGTCAGTCAACTTAGAATGCAAGGGCAATTCTATGGCTATCCTATTCCTATCTAGTGAAGTGGATGAGTTTTATTAATCTGTAGATAACAGCAGATATTATATATAGATGTATGTAGATAGAGGAATAGTAGCTAGGTATTAGGTGTGTCTGCATGAATAACTCAATTGCAAAAGTGAAAGTGTAGCATGATTTCTTACATTGGGCAGTGGAAGAGAATCCAGGAGCTGGGACCAGCTGCAAATGGGAACACAAATGAAAAGGATAAGGAAAACATATTAGGCCAGTGTCTGAAGTATTGCAGCAAGCGAGCAACTGGTGCTGATATTTTAGCTGTAGCTTGTGTGAAATGACAGTTTGTTACATTACATATTGATTGAGGGGCTCTAGGAGTACATACATATACATAGGATTCAATCTCTTTGCCTTTACTGAATCTTATAGCTAGCTGGCCTAACATTATCTGGCAATGGAATAGTATCCTTACTCGCAAAATTAAGCACGCTGTTTATATTAGGGCTCGTTCGGTTTTCTTGGAATGAGGCTAGGAACCAATCCAGCTGATCAATTGTTATATAAATTAGCCTATCATTGTAGCCGATTCCGAGGCAACCGAACGAGCCCTAGTCGGTATTGATTTGAAAAGAGCGCACACACAAGTGGAGAAAGAACATTTGAAGGAAGCTGACACTTTGGACAGTTTGCACATGCATATTGAGGGAATTAAAGCAAAAATATCATGCCAGGCATATTCCTTGCTTTGCGCCCGAAACTCAGAGCGAGAGCAGGACAAGACATACACCAGGAAATTCTGGGTAATAATTTAATTTAATGCCCACATCAATCACAAAAACCTGAGGTGCTTGATGCATTGTTCTGGTCGGCAGACAGAACCTTGTTAGCTTGCATGAGCTAACCAACAATATTTAATCTAATCTGTATTGGTATTTATATATTGCCCTCCATCCATAAAAGAATTTCTATTAATGAAGCTTCAATTTCACGACCGACCTTCCAGCCATGAAACAGTGTTTTTCTCTCGCAACATTTCAGCATAAGCGAATGGGGCATCGAACGTGCATGAAGTGTTTTCTTTTTGGGAAAGAGTGGCGCAACTAACGTCAGCTAGCTCCTGCTTCCTTATCCCCTCCCTCTTGTATTGTAGTCTTCTTGTACCGGAGGAAAAGCCAATGGCCGCGTGCATGGTTCATTGTTGTTTGTTAGGTAGCAAGCTAGAAGTAGAAGAGGCAGCATATATAGTAGCACAATACTAGGAATATATGCATGCATGGACACAAATATGGTAGGGTGTGGCCCTGGCTATCAACCAACTATTTGTAGCAATGGGGGAGGGAATAAAGTGATGTGGAGTAGCTAGCTAGCGTGTATCATATGCATCGATCGACATGTGTTCTCCCATGCATTTCGTCTCACCAATCGGTCCACTTCACATGTCTTTGTTGCATTCAGACTAGCACTATACCCAGCTAGCTGTCTGATCGATCGATATCTTACTCTGAAAAAATATCGATCGATCATCTTATATTATTAGCTAGTGTAATAAATAGATAAAACAGTGAGCAAAAATTAACCCCTGTAAAGAAGGATGGTTATGGTTTGGTGTTTACATACCTGGCGCCATTGTCGCCGAGGCCATGGAGCCACACAATGGTGGCCTGGTGCCTCCCTTTGGGCCTCACCACGTACGTCCGGCCGTACTCCACACGGCGCCCCCCTCGCCCGCCTGCATATCCATGGCCGGCCTAGGTTGGTTAGTTAATTAACCATGCACATGATCTATGGATTGGATCCATGCAGAAGCCATGGAGCTATAGCTAATTAACAGGTAACAGCCAGACACAAGAAAGAGCAAGAACGACAGCAATGGAACACACAGACCAGAAGAGCTGCTCCCATAGCTCATGGTGTCGATCGATCTCCGGCTCTCCGCTGCCGCTGGTGCCTAGCTAGAGATCGAGCACCACCACCACTGGAAGGTAGCTACAAGATCGAACGAGCCACCGGCCGGCGATGGAGACGACGGACTGCTACTGCAAGTACGAGTACGAGGCTAGCTCAAGTGAAAGCTTGTTGCTTGGCTTGTTGGTGGTTGCTGCTGTTGCAAGTACGAAGTGCATAGGCCCAATTGACCTCTATTTATAGTGGGAGCTCGACAGGGACGGCGAGGCCATCGAATAATATGAACAGCCAGCAGCACCAGCCTTCAGGCTGATGCTGGCTGGCGGCCGGGCGCCCGCCATGCGTCGCTGCGGCCTGCGGAGCGTCGTGCGAAGCGAATCCGGGCGCGCGTCGCATGGAAAGCGATCGAGAGCCGGCCGGGAACGGGATTGCTAGTTTGTTACAGCTAAGGGCCTATAAGGGAACAACCTAAGCTAGCCTCAGCCGTTTGGGAGGTATAGGAGGTAGGAGCAGGATAAAAAGGCTGGATCCTTTGTTTTTCTTTTTTTATTCTTCCCTCCTCTGTTTCTTTTTTGGTTGAGACGGGAGCAGAAGAATCTCACTCTTACCGTCTCACGACTCACCTTAGCAGTTGCATGCAGTGCTCCGTGTTCTGTTTCTGTGTGAATTGACTTCAGATTTGCAGTGTGCTCTAGTCCAAGAAAAAAAATATTGGTGCAGTGAATTTATGTACAGAAATAGAAGGTCTAAGATAAAATATTATTGCAGTGAAATAATATTATTTGTAGAGAAATAAAATGAATTAGTCCAAGAAAAAAATTATCAGATTGTTTGCATGTTCTTCTAAGAAAAAGAGCTCGACAGCAAATTAAAATAGAATGTCTAGGTACATAAATTAAATATTCTAGAAGATCAGGTACAATTTTATCACACTTTTGCTTTCATGCATGGAAGGATGCATCGAAGCTATTGGATTTCAATTTGATGGTTAGAAAAGTGACAGGTTTCATTTTGTGGGTGATAATTTGTCAAAAAACATATAAATAGTCATGTTTTTATGGCAAAATATTCAGTCCGAAGAATCACATCTTTGGTGGCATCGTGAAACCCCCCTAGAAAAATATACTTAGGAGATTTCAAAATTTTTAAAACGACACACATCCGTAATAGGTGTATATTGTCGCAAAAGTTGTGATACAAACTCTTGTAAAAAATTGTACCTAAAATAATAAATTTAGTTGCATATGCACTAGAAGGAATCTGTCTTCTATCTAGTGCATATATATGCACCTAAGATTTGTTATTTTTGTATGAAATTTTCTAGATTGAATTCGAATATCAACCTTTATGGTAATATAAATCTAAAAATGCAATATGGATGTGCACCATTTGAAAAAAAAACTCATAAATATGTTTTTAGAGAGTTTTCACAATTCCACCGAATATGTGGCTTGCACAGAATATTTTTCCATGCACTATTAATTTGTGTGGCCTTTACTACATTCCTGATCAGTTGCAGGAAGCCATAGTGTGCGTGCGCGTGACGACAGTGCTGAGACAAGGATTATAGAGGAACAAGGTGGCACACAGAGCACAGCATCACACAGGTCCCAGCAAGAGCCTAGCTCTCTCTATGCCAATTCCTAGCAGGCTAGCTATGCTCTGCCCATGCAGGATCAAGGAGGCATGGATGCATTTGTCTTACATGGCCGGAGCGAATTCGAATCGATGCAGCCTCGGCAGTGGAGGGAGAACCGGAAATATAAAAATATTACTTTATTTTCCAAAAGGAAAATATATAAATATTGCTTAGGACCACCCCCCCCCAGCCGCGCCTAGCTATCTATAACCACCCAATTTCCCCTTTTTGATCTTCATCAGGAACTAATGCCCACTAACCCAGTACAATTCCTGAATATTGTATATTTATATATAACCTTATTAACCGATTTGACAAGGAATAAGCATATAACTATACATGGATTTTTCCTACTAATTCCCTGTGTGAAATGAAGTAAAATAAAATAAAGGCGGTGAATGCCTCACTGTCTGGGTGGTGAGGAAATGTTCTTATGGACAAGAGTATATTTAGCAGGTAAAAGGCAGAATATTTTGTGTTTTTTTGCCCCTCTGGGAAGTTCGCAAGCTCCTTGTGTCAGCACGAAAATGTCAACACACAGCAAGTCGAAAGGATCTGCTTGATGGAGCAAGGCTGGAGATCCGCTTGGCTTCAACGCAGGACCAGTCAACCCTACGAATTCCCAAAGGCGTACCAGTCAATTTGACCTGCAATTGACAAGGAGAGAAAGTTTATCAGTAATTTAAGGTGGAACATGTCGGTTTTGTCCAGACAGTTCCAAGGGTGCCGCTTCGAGAGCAGCCAGACGGGAAAATCGACTAAATAGCCGATACGAGAAGAAATCGGCTGTTAAGAACTGTAACGCTCGTCGGGTCATGATTGATTGAATATAATGCACCCAGTTTTAATGATCCTTTCCCTTAAGCTATTAGCATGTATACGTCAAATATACATCACTGGCTAAGTTAGATTTGATCAATACGTAGCGTAGAGTCAATGAATTCGGTGAAAAGGGATATGCCACGCGAACAATCGACTGTTTGATATAAACAGACCTACGAACCGTCTAGATCTAACCAATTACTGTCAACAGTGAGGTTCGACCGGATCGATGCAGCTATGATGATGATGATAGTCTAGAACCAGAAAATCTATAGAACCGACCATACTTCAATAGGTTTATAAAAGTGTGCCATATCTGTGAAAGCACAGACAGATCGGCTAAAATAACCGATTCGGGTAGAAAAAGGATTACAGCATGTGAACAATTGACTATTTAATATGGACAGATCTATAAACTCATCAGATCTAACCCGTTATCCTGAACAATCGACTATTTAACATGACAGCCATAATAAAGATAACAAATTAAATCTTTAAAGTAAACAGATCTATTCATATTTAACAGAATCATGAAGACACATTGTAAGTGTTAAAATACGGGTGATCGGCTTATTTAGCCGATGCAGACATAGCAAACAGCCAAGGTCATGTCTGGTTGAAAGCAAATCTACAAGCTATCATTCTCCGATTTAAAGTGCTAACAATGGGGATCGACCGGATCGTTACAGCCATAATAGCGAGCTATAGACCAGATTCAACTAGCTAGCAAACCTTCTCAAAATCAGACATGCCTTGACCGCGTGCTATGCACGATCAAGATCGAAGTAGAACGGCCGATAAAACATAATCCGTCGTTTAAAGTAAGAAACATCGTAACGTGGTGAAATAAACGATGGACTTAAAAGGATGTGAGGCCGATCTAGATCGATCTCGATCAGACATGTTGATAATATTGACAGTAATGACAGTAAGAATATCAGTAAATCGGTAACTTAATGAATCTATCCGAAGGATGTCACCCTTAGGTAGAGCCGATAACTTGACCTTAATCTAATTCGAGCAGTGGATGTCGAACTTAACCGATGTAGCCGTATTTGAACTAGATAAGGATCGATAACTAGCTTACACTAGAGCTCTCAAGAGGTCGGCCGGACCGATATAGCCTTATGAACAGAAGTATAAGCTATGACGGTACTTACAGACAAGCCGGAGGTCAGCTGGACTGATGCAGCCCTGCTTGTTGAAGAATTTTTCGAGATCTACAGTACTCCTACTCCTAAGAGATGGCGTAAAGCCAAAAAAAGTAATTGGTATTGATTGATTGGATGTCTTTTTACAATAGTCGGGGTCCAATATTTATACCGGGGACTTAAACATGAATCCTACTCAAACACGACTTAATACAATCTTTGAAATAAAAGAAAACATTTCTAATTTAAGATAACTTGGATTTCAATCCTTTTCCCTTTTGTAGAGTTTGACATTTTTCTCCCTGACGCCATCCGTATGTAGTCCGTCGATGTTGTCTGCTAACGTCATCCATAAAATAGCCGATTCTGACACTGCATCTGAATTAGCTGATATTGATCCTTATGCAATTGATTCCTTGATAACACAATTTTGGAAACTTCGAGTTCCCGCGTTCTTCTTCCCAAATTTTGGTGTAAACACATGCCCCTAAATTTTGGATAAAAATGATTTTATTCCAAAATTTCTATTTACCGGTTCACCATGTCACAACCGTTTATTCTGAGATATATGCGTAACTCTTGATATTCTAGGTCCGAATTTTATATAATACCCCACAGTATCATTTTCGATTCATTCGGTCCATTTACTTTCCCCTTCTTCTTCAAGCGAGCCTCAACAACCAAAGCCGCCGCTACTAGAGCTCCAACCCTAGCAGTTTTTCCTCTGCTCGAGCTGTTCATCAAGTCATTTCTCTACAACCTTTTCTGAATTCAGATTTATTACAACTAAAGTTTTCCTAAACGGTAACATGGTCGTCCTTCGTTTAGCATTTAGGCTGTTTACACGGTGTTTAAACAAAGTTAAACGGTCTAAACGGTTTTATACTTTAGAAAAAAAAATACATATAATTATATATGTGCATGTAAAAAATCAAGTATTCTAGCATTTATACATATTTATCCGAGTAAAAATCAATTATTTTGGTATGTATATACATTTATGCATGTGAAAAGAACCAAATATATATATTTATGCATGTAACATATCAAGTGTACACATTTATAAATATAATAAACTTAAGTATACAAAATTATCCATACAAAACTGAA